TGGAAACAATCGGTTGGTATAGTAGTTTGGTAATGTTTCGCCCTTGACAACAGAGCTTCGTCAGACCAGGTGAAGCCTTGCAGTTGGGGGGGGGGGATTTTTATAGCCAACAGGGGGGCGATAACCGCGTTACCCGAGACTTTGGTCATGATATCATTACAGCAACCGTTCGTGATGTCACATCAGGTGGTTTAAACACAGTGGGAATAGTTCAGGTGTTCCTTTGTGCGTCATGACATTGACGGATAAGCCCATAGTGTTGACAACGGGAGTCAATTTGCACTTTCCAATCTAATCCACGCACCGATGCTCGTCAAGCTGGCCGGCTTAAAACCGCCCGCCATGCATTAGGGAATTCTACCCCCACAATTCTATTCACGAAGTCGTCAGATTTGGCAATTTCCACCGCCTCGGCAATCAACCGCTGAGATGTTGATCGTATGCCCCTCCTAATGACCTCTAGGTTTTCGAGGTCTATCTGGTGACCCGTGTCTAATGCATGCACAGCTGCGGCCGAGTCTCTTACTATTGCCTGGTATTCAAATTCGTTTCTTGGTAGTCTTGAAATTGTTTTCACACCTCTCTGAACTCATGACTACTCGATCGGTTCCAAGTATCTTTCAAGATTAGACCCAGTTCGTTTGATCAATACAGCACGTGTGTGGATGCAGCGGTTTTTCTAGAGTTTCTAATGACATTGACGCACATAATAGTATTTCACTCATGTTCTTACATAACGGTTTCCATCCAGCACACAGTGACTTTTCAAAAGCCATGTCTCCTGCCACTTTTTCAAAATGTTGTTCTATTTTACCACATTTCATTGTGTCATAAAATTATCTTACCCGTAACCTCTACTTGTCAACACAGTCGATCTTATCAGCAAGTTGCGTGAGTCGTCATTAGTCAGGTCAAGTCAAAATAGGCTTTATGCACCCGACTGGGAACGGTTTCAGCACTGCGGATGTTGTGAGGCAACACGTAAGCATGAAGTTGCAGTCAACATGTAAAAAAAGAACATGCATGCACATCACCCAAATAAGCATTCACATGTAATGTTGATAATTTTATTCGAGTCCAGAAGAAAACAGGGTAAAAATGCGGTAAGATGGAGTTGTGATGTCATGTTGTGCGAGAAAACAAAACCCCACGTTTAGAGCGGGTAGACGAGACGGAGAGGGCCGTAGGTAAATCAGCTTGATGGGTTGAAAAGTGTCCTTTAACACATTTGCTGATAAGTTGTCACATACACTCAAATGCTTAGTAACGATGAATTCAACTTGTACTATCCAAAGTTATAGAATCAATCATCGCAGATGCGCTGATGCAGTATCTGGAAAGCCACAACTTAATAGCCCCAGAGCAACATGGCTTTCGTCAAAAGCGTTCATGTAATACCAGCCTATTAACCGCTTAGACCATCGAATTATCCTTCAGAAGCTTCGGAACTACGGCATTGGCGACCCAATCCTTAGTTGGATTAGCAATTTTCTGCATGAACGACGGCTAGAGTCCGAAAATCATTTTCCGATGCAATCGATGTGTTGTGTGGTGTACCACAGGGCTTGGCGCTTGGACCTCGTCTAATCTTGGTGTTCATTAACTATTTGGCGAGATCAGTTGCTTTCGATTTCCTGTTTTTCGCTGATGATATCAAGATATGACGAAGGATCAGAGGACCGGACGACCACAAATGGCTCCAGTACGATCTTAACACTGTCGAACTGGTCAGTTCAAAACGCCCTACCATTCGACGTAGACAAATGTCGAGTTGTGCAATTACGCCATAGACATAACTACACATATTTGCTTGGGACAAACGGATTTCAGGCCAGCTCCCAGGAATGTGACCTTGCTGTGCTTGTACTGAGCGACCTTAACGGTTCAAAGAGGCTGAGGTAGCTGTGAAGAGAGGCAATCAGCACGTCAACATGCTGCGAAGGGCATTCGGGAGATTGGAGCGATCAATCTTCCTAATGATGCACAATTCCTACGTACGCCAGCATGTTGAATACGCAATCCAAGCATGGCAACCTTGGTTGAAGCGCGACCTAGAATCGTTAGAGGCACCACAACGAAGAGCAACAAAGAATGTAAAGAGCATGCGCTATCACTCTTACCACCGAAGGCTGAAGCTGCTGGGAATTTTCAGCGGATTCTATCGAAGGCTGCGCGGTGATTTCATATTAGCGTATAATATACTGAGTGACCCCAACCACGTATGCCGCCACTTGCTGAAACTTAGCCACAACACGCAGTTCAGGAACAATATAGCCATCTAGAGTATCGACGTAATTACTTTTCCCTTCGGGTTTGCCTACCCTGAAACGTACTCCCAGACTCAGTTATATCCTCCCCTACATTGGACGTTTTCAAAAAACGCTTAGATGTTGCTCTTAGCTCCCAGCACTTCGTTACCTAAACTCCTCTATTGTGGATTACGCCAAGCGTGCTTTTCAAGAGGATTTATGTATCAAATGGAACCAAGTGAGCGACCATATTTTCTTTTTCTCACCCCTTATATCAACGACCAGTGTACCCCGGTGTATTTCTTAAAGTTTACGCTCTATTTTTTAATTTTACACTGATGTTAATTATCAAAGCATTCACCTCGGTAGGCGCTCGGTAGATGACCCAGACGTTTTGATTTCATCATATTCACCGCAACCATCCTATGGAATGTGTCAAGCACTCGCTTTTATTCCGTGACAAATCATTGTTCATTGTTCAATTGCGGTTAATAGAATGAATAATCATTGTGGTCTTTTTGTAGAAGACAAGGAAAATGATGATTGACGCGTATTGCCAATTCGGGTAGAATACAGGCAGTCACGAATTTGTAAATTCAAGAGCAGGGTACTGAAAGCATTTTGAGTCTGTTCACAACATCGCACACTGCTGGCTTAACGCCACTCGCTGACAACTGATTAAGCACAATGGACCTGTCGACACTTCTAAAATCCACACAGTCTTGCATTTTGCATCCACTGGAGATCATCATCATCATCATACACGTTAGCTAGAGGTGGGAAACACCTCAGCTACTGTGCCGCAATACATAAAAGAAAAAAGGAGAAAAATAAGCAACTGGTGCATGCCAGCTGAGCTACCGGTAACGGATGGGCATCGTTCCGATAAGCTAGCAGCCGGCTACTGTGCATCAAAAAAGATGCTATAGGGTGAACATAGTCTGCTATGGCATTCAACGTGGGAAGTCGGGATCTGTACGCATGCCGAGATACGTTCACAGTCGGACTGCACAAGCAGTCGCTCGATGACTTTTACTATGATGGACGCAATCTTATGAATCCTTCTATGGTACAGATAACATCCTGGCAAGCATCCAAGTGTCGGGAGTGATTCCACCGTGTAGGCACCGATTTAAACGATCCGTCAAGGGCATGTTGAGGATACCGACACACTCTTTCAAGCTGGCTGGTGAGGCGCATCAGACGCATGAGTCTTCCTTGACTTCAGATGCCTTAGTTAATGGTGGACTCCAACGTGTTTGGAATCTAATCTTTGAGCCAAAGCCAGAGAACAAAGGCAGATAGAATGAAGGTATACAGGATGCTACCTGTGAAGAAGAACAGAAGTCCGAATTTCGTTTCTCAACATCCACAGAACGAAGCTGCTTTTACCGCATAGCTACTCTAAGTCTCCACAGGTCTCGTCGATAGTTGTCGTTGCATAAAACAGCTTCGCTGCATAAATTATTCTCATGTTCCGTTTTTGTTGTTGAAAGAAGTTTTACATGAGCAGTCATCTTACGTTTAAGAGGCCCATCTATTTTTCCTTTTAACTTGTTTGAGTGGTGGTGAGTAAAATGTATCTGTTCATAAGTAGGGTGACATATGTGTATACATATCATTTTGCTCCTCACTCAATGAAATTACCCCCAATACATCCGCAACCTTGGTGCATATGCTTTGAATGGACCCGTTTGAGGGAAGCAAGCCAAGGGAAGCAACAAGCAATTTGAATTTTACATTGCTCGTGAGTAGCAAGAATTTAGATGTAATTCTTAAAGATATTCATCCCAGTAGTTCACATGCTACATAGCACAGCCTAGTCCTGAAAGCACCAGGCACGTTTCGCCCCATCGGGGCTCCTCAATGGTTCGCATTCCCTCGGTCCCATAATAAGGATCGAACCCATGATCGCTAGTGACTGATGCCAACTTGCCAGCAGCTTAAGTCACTGGGCTATGGTATACAGTGTTATTAAGAAACTTGCAACAAACGAACTTGCCACGCTGTCTTACGAAATCGAATCCTTCGACTATTCTGACATCCTCCTTTACCTGTCCACTTCAGTCGGAATCCCATGCTACATATACATTTTGCTTGCATACTATTATCTCATTGCACGCTTCATTTCCTATATCCATAGCTAACTCTTCATTGCATTTACCAATTTGTCTGTACCTGCAGAAGCAGTTACATTGGCAGAACAGATCGTTCGCTGAGTAAGCGGATTAGAGAGCACATTCCGAAGCGAATTGCTGGGTTGATGGCACAACAAGCAACCGGACTAGGAGTGGCAGGCAAACTGCCGGCATCATCCATTGCTAGACACCTAGTCAGTACAGGTCATCAAGTTGACCTTGGGTCAACTTTCACGGTTATCTACCGTAACGAGAACGCCAGAGTACTGAAGTTTGCCGAGGCTGTGGCCCTAAATCGTTACCGTCCCACCCTTTGTATGCAAAAGCTACTGACACTAGCCATTAAGCTTCCTTGGGGTTCATTCCCTTTGCCGCAGCGCTATCAGCTATTGTTTTGTGTTTGTGTGCATTTTTCTGGCCAATTCAAAACGATCGTTTCCTTCCCTTTCGTCATCTGTATATATTGTTAGTTTGCAAGTGATCACATAACACGAAATGGTGTCATCTTGCAGTGCTCGTCTTTTTATTGTTTTGTTCAGACTGATACAGGGAACACAATGCTTTAAATATTCACAAATAATTTTCCTTATCGCCTCTTTTTCGCCCACTCTAGGGTCGGTGCGTGTTTGCCAGTGGAAGCCCATTTTTACCAGTATCTCTGGAACCTTCGCAATGTATGGGTCTCAAAAAACCACTGAAACGGTATCCTGGACAGGCGAATAATTCCTACATTTTTCCTGGTGTTGCCTTAGCCATCGTGAGTGGACAAATATCGCCTGTGACGGACGACGATTTTCTGGTGGCCTCCGAAGTGAGTGGGGTCATTTTCTTCTTCGAACCGTTTTCGCATTCATCAACACTCATTTGGTGTAAGATTCCGCACCGTTTTGTGTGTCGAACGTTCTTAAAATCAATATCATTGAGCTACTCTAATGTCTGGCATGGTGCTTTAGCAGCCGCCGTCATCCATGGTTCATATCATATTGTATTACAAGAAGGACAGTCGCACAGACTGTTCTAACCACTGGGGTGTTAGCCTAACGCCAGTTGCGACAAAATTACCGGCCTCGATTCCCGTTCGTCGCCTCACTGTGGGACGAGAATCTCGGATTAGGCAGGTTTCCGCCCAGGCCGTGATTGTATAGACCATATATTCACTTTACGGCAAGTGCTAGAGCAGCGCCACGCATACCGCAGACCGACAATAGCTGTGTTCCTCGATTTCAAGAGTGCGTTCGATTCAGTCGATCGATCGATTCTGTTCGAAATACTTGCGCGGAAAGGTATTCCCACGAAATATGTGAACATCCTTCGTACTCTATGCTCGAACACTACAGGCCTCGTCAGAGTCTACGGTGTCCTATCGGATAGCTTTCTGATCACAAGTGGCGTTCGTCAGGGTTGTCTGATTTCCCCATTTTTGTTCACTTTCGTCGTGGATTCTATCATGGAGTGTTCCCTTGCGGAATCTCACGATGTAGGCATTGAAGTGCTGTCTGGTGAAAGGTTACTTGGTCTAGATTATGCGGACGATATCATCTTGCTTTTTGACAATGTTAGGGCGGCCCAATCAACCCTGAATAGCCTGTCCAGATTGGTCCCATTATTTGGTATGCACTTCACACCTTCAAAGTGCAAAGTGTTGCTGCAGGACCACCAGCCACTTGCTGACCCCTTGGCGCTTGCTAACGAGGAACTCTAGGTGGTTGATCAATTCACTTTCCTTGGTAGCTGCATCATCAATGATAGGGGCATAGAAACTGATGTCATTTCACACGTTGCAATGGCCAGAACTGCCTTCTTGAACCTGCGGCATATTTGGCGACAGAAGCGAGTTTCCCTACGTCCGAAAAGCGGTGAATACAAGGCCACAGTGAGTGCTGTTCTGCTGTATGGTAGTGAAACGTGGCCCCTACGGTCTGCAGATCTGAGGCTCCTTCAAGTCTTTGATCATCGTTGTGTGCGAAGCGTTGCTGATGTCGGATGGCACTAGTGTGTCCGCAACAGTGATGTGCGTAGACGAGTACTAGGTGGTAATAATCATGCTAGCTCCCTAGAACAACAGATAGCACTGAATAAGTTGCGTTGGCTCGGGCGCTTGCTACATATGTCTGGTCACCGCTTACCTAGGAGGGCTATGTTTAGTCCGCCAGGCGTAGGGTGGCGCAAGGCTCGAGGTGGACAGAAGTTGATTTGGCAGCATGAAATGAAGTCACTGACGACCAAATTGGATGTCGTTGGTCCGTCTCACCTTCCGGGTTGGTGTTCACTTGACTCGCCTTGTGCTTGGCCCGAGACTTGATAGGATATGGATCGCAGGCGACACAAGTGGCGCGTCTGCTATTGTCTCCTAATCGAATTGCCTGTTTAAAGTATGTTTCATGCTAATTTATCTGCGGGGTAATGGCTGATTATGACGCGTGGCAGTGAAAGCCGCATGGAAGCTGTCTCGCCGATGCCGCCTTATCTTTGTACGATAGCTAGCTGTTTGTGACGATATGTTGTCTACACAATATGTAGGCGCCTGGACCCTGAATGTTTGCTTAGGGCATTAAGCTTTTCATGTAAATCCCCCTTATCTCACTCTTATTTTTCTTTATTCCAAAGTCATCATGGTTGTATGACAGTGAAGCATCAGTTCAAATGGCTGATGTACTGCTGTTGTTCATAGGGATGTCGGCCATATTATTCCGTGTTTTTTCTTTATTCTGTAATGATAAGTATCGCTTTTCCATACATCTCATCTTTTTGTGTTATGGCACAATAAGTGTGATGCTTTTCATCTCTAGCTAGCATGTGATGATGGTGGTGATCGTGTCCGTTAGGATACTTTCTAATGCCGAAATGCTTGTTTTTATCGCACCACATTGCAGTCGACATGTACACACGCACACACAACCAGCGCAAATGCGTCTGGATCTTGGTGTTACGGTATGAGCAGATTTCTAATTCGCATGTCATATCCCCTTCTTTTTTAGACCCTGGCCGCTTTTGTTTCTGATGAGGACTATTCCCTGGGTCGTCTGTTCCCTCCACTAAGCGACATTCGTCGAGTTTCAGTCGCTATTGCCAAACAAATCGTACGTGCCGCAATACCCGAGGGACGTTGCCATGCGTTCGAAAGCTCACATGTGAACGATGCCCAAGTGGAACAGACGGTGTCCTGTTTTTCGAACTATCCTCCTGAAGAGTAACATTCACGAGTGCGCAATCAATAGTTCTTCCGAAATGCGCTTACAGCTCCATTTCTTTTGGCGAAAAAAATGACTGAACGGTGGTTCCCCTCTCAAGCACTATGCCCACTTTCGATCCGCGTTTTCCTCTCTCGAGTACTGCAGTCCGCACAGTCTATCATTCACCACTCGTATCTTTAGTCACAACCCTTTCGCTTTATGTCACAGTCTGTAAGGATGTTTCGGGGGGATTTTTCTTCATGTTTGTTTTGGTGAAATTCATTTCTCAGGCTGTAGGTGAGGCGGAAATATTTGAACAATTCTTTTGCGGAGCTGTTGATGAAATTTATTGCATCCAACCGTAGTTTGTACCAAGCTCTGATTTCCACCACTCTAATAGACCCACTGCATCAGTCCTTTATTTCCGTGACGCATCAATGACTTTACATCTACGAATTAGTATAAAGTTCCGAATGTCCGTTGCCGATTCCAGTTGAATTCTTAAGAGAATCATTACTTATATGCACAGAGAATGTTGAAACATACGGTATCGCCAAATTGATGGGGGTAGCCCACTGGGCCCCATACTAGCGGATTTCTTTATGCTAATGATAGAACGAAGATTATCCGAAGAAATAGCGCAGTTACCTTATTACAAACGTTACGTTGACGATATACTGGTGTTCAGTTCGACGGAAATGCAAATCGCACAGCTAGTGGCACGTTTTAACTCTGCGCATGCCAATTTGTGGGTTTCCTGTGAAGTCGTACAACAGAACTGTCTTCCATATTTGGATGTTCTTATCAGCCGCAGGGAGGACGGACTGGTAAAACGGTCTGTCTATCGAAAAACAACGTGGCCGGAACAGTATCTGCATTTTAGCAGCTTCACGCTAATGCGGCACAAGCGAACGCTTGTGAGAACCCTGTTTAGTCGCGCCAGACGAATATGTTCGAGCGATTGTCTAGCCGATGAACTAGAATTAATTACCAACATGTTAATTGCTAATGGCTACCCTCGAAAGTTTATCCGAAAGCACAGTGAAATTCGTGAAATGAAAGTTGCTTTACCTACTGTGCCTAAGAAAGAGATATTCTTAGAGCTGCATTTTATGGGTGACATTGCTTCTTTGAGGACCAGCAGATGTCTGATTTCCGCCATAAAGAGCACTTTCTGTGCTGCCGAAGTTGTAATCATCGACCGAACTCGTAACCTACCGTTGCCTCCACTAAAGGAAACTCGGCCTATTGGCGTCAACTCCCACTGCGTATATCAATTTGTATGTAACTGCGGAGATAGTTACATAAGCAGAACCAACAGAACACGGAGTTTCTGAATTAAGGAGCATGTACCAAAATGGGTTCAGTGCGGACTTATTCGGCAAGCAAGCCCAACTCAGACTAAATGTGTACGCAGGCCGCCAGCATCTTCGATCGGCAGGCACCGCATTGAGGTTAACAAGGCGTTTCGAATCCTGCTTCGCGATACTAATTCCCGGCTCCTCCGGTTTGCCGAGGCTATTGCAACTAATCGGATTAAGCCAGTGCTTTGTGTTCAAAAATAATTATCGGTCAGCCTCAGGCTGCCCTGGTTGTAGAACGAAGACCCTTTTTTCTCTCCTTTGTTTGTATGTATGTCTGTACCCACAAACTGTTATATAAACTTACCGGTTATCGTTATCGGCACTGATGAGACGATACGAAGTGCATGCATCTGCCGAGCTTCGTCTTCTAATTTTGTTTTTTTTCAGTTACTAAAGGGAACTAACTGTTTTAAATGACTTAATCATCATCACCTGTTGTAAAACGTTGATGACCATAATGAAAGTATGCGGATAAAGGGGCGTGATGAATTTAAGCGACCAGGCAAGCAGTTTGATCGCCGCAAGCGAACTGTGTAGAGGATTGTATGACTACACGTCTACGCTGATTAGTTAATATTTGACTGTGCTTGAATACGTTTGTGTGACGGAAGCAAAGGAAGCATCTCATGAATGCAGAAACGTCATTAGTTTTTGATGCGATCTAGTTGTATAAAGCGAGGCTACTACAGCCTAATTAAACGGTCATTTTCGCTGTGACCGTGGTACTGGTGGCTATCTTTGCTTATCTACTACTTTGCGAATCTGGAACGATGCCTGGTAGCGTACGGATGGAAGAACGGTGCATTCGACGCCTTTCTGTGTTGGTTTCTTCGCGACTACTGAAATAGTTTGTTTACTCTACTTGTCTGGTCCCACAGAGAATGATGTGCGTTCATTTCCGGTGTAGACGATAGTGTAGTGTTCACATGCGGTTATCGGCCGTACCATTGTTTTTATCTCGTGACTGCTACATAGACGGTTAAGTGAATGCGAGATACCGTTCGCCGTAGCCGGTCGTTCAGACCGTGCTCTTGTGCTATAAAATATCACAGGCGCCGGCGCGCTCGGCGATACCGACTTGCCAGTTGCACTGCGTTGCTTGTTTGACTGTTTATTCTTTATCTGAACCACTGGTCTACCAAGTGGCAAAACTAGACCCTGATGTGGTGCGGTTGCCTGGGGCCCTCTATGACCCATTGAGCTTCGGTGTTTATTATTCTCTACATGTTTTCAGAGCCACTCACTAAACAGGTCATTATATAAATATATATATATATATAATACACAATCTGTGGTACAGATATTGTGCCATCGGAATCACGGCTGAATAGGAAAACAATATGAATTATAAGAAAAGAGCAACAAGAACTCCCTTTATGTTTATTTTCCCACTCACAGTTCTTGCCATTTTTTCAGTTTGTTCTTTTTTAGGGGGAGGAAGAAAGGGTACCGCAACAAACTGATGCACACGTCCGCCATTGACATCGACCTTGAGCCATGGCTTCCAAGGTCTTCAACCAGCAAGTATCCGCGTCTCTCGGACCCCAACCAGGTAGTCGACAACAACCGGCCGAGGTCAACTGTTTTGTCAGCTTTTTCATGCGGCTTCTCCATGTTGTAGGCTGTCCACCAGATCGTCTTTTCCAACCCTGTCCAGCAAGTGCAAATAACGCACGACGGGGGTAACGCTGGACAGGCATGCGCAACACGTGTCCCAACCACCGCAGTTGATGCAGTGAGATGAACTCGTCGAGCGAGTGGCTTCCACGTCCCAAAGCACGCTATCTAACTTCCAAATTGCTTACGTGGTGCTGCCACCACACATGGGCAATGGACCGCAGACAGCGGTGCTCGAAGACGGATAGCCTGCGCAAGTCATCTTTACGAATGGGCCAGGTCTCGCATCCGTACAACAGTACACCACGAACTGTTGCACAATAGACCCGCCCTTTGATGGAGAGACGAATGTCGTGGCGACGCCACAAATGCCTCAGCCTAGAAAAAGCGAGGCCTGCTCTCGAGATGCGCATCGAAATCTCGTCTCCAACAGCCCCGCCAGGAGTGATGCAACTTCCCAAGTAGACAAAACTCTCCACAAACTCTAGTGTCTCACCACCAAGAGTGAGTGCAGGCAGAGGCACCTGCCAGGCTTGCAAGGGAGCCTTGCATTTGGATGGCGAAAGGTACATACAGGTCATTGGCTAAAGATCAATCCCAACACCCTCTTCGATGGTCGTAATCCATAAAATCTAGCTATGGGAAGCAATAGAGCTCGTGTCATTGCCTTACAGCTCGGTTAAACAGCGAACATTGATTTATCATTGGTAAGAAGGCAAGTGCTTTAAAACTTCCCCATAGTGGTTAGGGTGTTGATTGAAGTTTACTCACCGACGTTATTCATTCACCGCTGCACGATGATAGTGGGAAATTGGAATTTATTGTTATCATACAGAACAATGTAGAGAGTAGTTACAGTCAAAGTTATGTAATAGAGGTACTGAGGTTCATCTTGTATCTGAACATCGGTAAATGGCGGCATGTATCAGTTGTTGTGGAGTTCTCCGAGCTGGGCAACTTGGTTGCAAGCGTTTCGCCACAATTCAAGGTGGCATCTCCAGTGCGGGATTGATAGCAGTTAAGTAGCAGTAGCTGGCGGCATGTATCTTTGGGGTCACTCATTTTTTGCTACATCAATATGGGGTTCTCCGCGTTACCGTCGGTAGTGTCAGTTGAAAACTTCCATTATCTTCAATCTTTACTGGTAAACGAAGTTGCGTAGACCCTTTACCTTCTTTCTTGTTCTGCGTCGTGGTGTTTCTAGCACTTTAACATCGTGCTTTGAACATGGTTGCCATGCTTGGATAGCACGTGCGTCATCAGAAATATTGATGGGTTACTGCGGCTGCCTCCGACTGTTGTGAACAGTTGAGATCATTCCATGCAAGCACACCGAAATTGCGTTCATAGGAACTGTTCCACAAGTTCTGTGTCAAACATATACCCTTTTCCTTTTCATTACTTAAACGTTCACCATTTAGATCTTATTTGATCCATGCTTCTGTGTGTGCTGACCGCTTTGGTCCAGTCTTTTGACCGTTCAACGTACGGAGTTTTTACTGTGCATATACCTGTGACCTGATTGTTAAACCCGACGTTTTTCTACCCTGTTTGACAGTTTAAGGTCGCATTAAGTTCGATCTACAGTCCTATGTAGTCATCTGGTCCTCGAGTCGATCCCCATTTCTTGATGTTATTTGCGTGGTATAAAAACTCATGGGAAATCACCCTGGCTAAGTCGTTTGTGAAAAACAAGAATAGACGAGGCGATATCTCCTGTCTTTGTGGTACACCGCACTCCATTTCACTTGCGTCAGCAAGGAATCTCTGACGCTCAAGTGACATTCGGGTAGTAAATTATCAATATAACCCAGGATTATCTCGTCACTGTCATAGTTCCGAAGCTTGTGGAGGAGAATTCGATGATCTAGGCGAGCGTAACGCTTTTGAGGAGGCCAGGTAGATAACATCGGCTCCCACCCTTCCATCAGCTGCTTCGGTCCAGCTAAGTAAGGTAAATAGTAAATCGCCAGCTGTACGCCGTAACGGCGCTTCGCTGCCACGCGCCCACCACCAGTCTCGCGTTTGCTGAGTATACCGCGAGGACGCCCGTCCCTACGCGGATTCGAACTAGTGACCTTATGGTTGCAAACCAGACGCGCATACCACTCGGCCACCGTTCGAATTCGGTCCAGCTACTGCCGGGCGATTAGCTGGTTTGTAGTGCATATCTGGTTTTGGCGGAAACTAGGGTGTTGCGGTTCTGTTATGTTGTGCTTTTCTAGTTATTGCAATGACTTTAGAATGCACAGAAAGCAGCGTTACCGGATAGTAATTTGCAGGGTAATGCATCTGCTCCCCTTGTGAATGCTAGTGATAACTAATCATTGTCTTATCTGTGCTAATGAGAAATGGCCAGCAGTTCGGCTACGCACATTGCGAGTTTTGTCTACTTCAGGAGAACTTGTAGCGCTAGTAAATACCACTCAGAGATGATGCGCTTAACCAAGCGCGGATATCAGAAGGCAGTTGAAGTCGGGCACAGCTCACTATATTCGATGGACTACAAAAAGACGTGGACGGATGAAGCGAGACAGGAGAAAATGTTAGCGCGGCAACTTACAA